AATAGACCAATAGAAACTATTAACCCGAGTTTAGGAAGCCGAGATTGGCGGGAACTATTTCATTATTCATTTCCATTATTTATTTCACAATCAATTCAGTTTTTGTTGATGAACAGTGAATACTAAGTCTGTAAAAATGCTGAAAAAATGTAGTCAGGGTTCCATTAAAAAATATAGGAATACTGTGGAGAATCTGGAGGGGAGGGAGGGGAGGGGGTGGTCAAAGGATTTTACTGAATTATTCGAATTTTACTGTTAAAAAATCACTTGAACTGTAGAAGTCGTAAGTTGCAATGACCTTTCAATGCCTGAAGGTCCTCTCCCAAAAATATTAATTTTTGAAGCTCGATTACTGCTTTTCTTGCATTTCCTGTAGCGATCGAGAAAAAAAACTACCAATTTTAAGGGCATATATTCGGAAACTTTACATTCAAAAGTCGTAATTGCACACTTATATTTTAGAACAGTCATGTAGTGAATGGATTTAGAACTTCACATTTTGTGTAAAGTTTCCACAATGATAATAATGACTGAACTCGACTCAAGCACATTTTTGCATGCACAGTCAAGAATTCAAACCCCTAAAATCTGGTGTCTCGCAAGTGGTCCATGAGAGTGGTCCACGAAGGTAGTCCACGGACCTGGGGTCCACGTTTTGTCGTTTCCCTTGCGAGTTTTGGCATTTTGATATTGACTTTGATATTATATCTACAACTTTCATAATATTGTCCGTAGCGGAACGCCATACCTATCTGAAAATTTCTTGCCCGTCTAAATCGCTGACTGAGACCGACTATCTCTGGTTTAATAGTTAACGTCCACCGAAGCACGAGAACGAACGAATATGCAAAGTATGTAAATTGTTTCATTGAAATCGCGAAAGCTGATTGGTTTGCATATTAAAACATGTACGAATAGACCAAAGTGAACGAACGAGTGAACGAATGAGTGAACGAATGATGAGTTCGTTAGTAACTATGGGAAATACGTTACAACCCATTCGTTACGACCTACTTTCTACAAAACGGACATGTCCTGGTATGCTTTGTCAAGTTCAAACTCAAATTTCTTGCCAGTTTTTCTGTCACCGTTTATAGGTTAACTCTAGGACATTCCTTGTACTGCGTATCATCATTATTAATCGTCGTTGGTTGTCTATGACGATGATCATACATAAACAGCTACGAATTGCAACGAATTGAACATTCTTAACAATGTTTCCCATTCGAATGAATGCAAATGATTCCTATGTGCGTGCCAAACATTCATACATACAAATATTCATGTCAATATGCTAAACAACTAGTGAACATATCTTAAAGTAAAATGTTGTTTACGCCAGCGCTTTGATTGTTAGAAACGCCCTGGAGGATGAAACAAAACACACAATGTGGGCTGTCTTGACTGTATAGCACTGAGTATAAAATTCGTTGTCAGTGCATATTATGCATGCATGCCTTTCAAACTTAGCGTTATAACGTACGCGTAAACCATAGTCCATAGTTTCAATAGTTAACATGCACAACTCGACGTTAGCGAACGGATATTCAGTTATGTTAATAATGTACATTGGGTCGCCACCGACCTATATGAACATGGTTTTGTGATTGGTTGATCATAACAATAAAAGACAATGAACTATAGAAATTGTCTTTCTAAAGAACGAGTCATAAACACTGATCACAAAACACGACATTTTAGGTTGGTATTTACTCGACTATTCATGCAAATATACGTGTTTTTTAAATCATTTCAACCGTAGCCCTGGTAAACGATTTACATGTGATTGCAACCGCTCTGGCAGGCTCTGCAGTGTTTAGCAATTTTGTGTAACATTTTATTCTCCGTGCATATACATACATGTCCTGCATGTAGAGATATATCAGGTTAAATAACGAAATAAACCATACACTGTTAACCGCGAGTTATTGTACTTGAAAACTTTGAAAGTTTCTGCAAATTATTATTCTTGACAACAGCATGCCCCCAAACAAATATCCCAAAGGCACGCGTATGGAAGGAGTATTGTTTCCCAATCTTGTGCGTTCGGCGTTCATGCAATGGTTGCGACTTTTTCAATGAAATTTCTGTTTTGGAATTTAACGGGGGAAAGTGTCGAATCCTTTCTGCAGATTGTACGTGATGTAGGCCCAACAGTTTTCTCGCTAACGAGGAGAGGAAATAGAAGACAGATTCACTATCCTTTTACTTTCCGTTCCCTAGCTTTACTGAGAGAATTAACCATGCATTTTAATAATAATAATAATAATAATTTAATATTTATATCGCGCAAATTTACATGAGAATATGATCAAATGCGCGTAACAAAGATATAGTAATAGTAATAATATTTACATATGCTAAACTAAGCGGATAAATCTATGTACAATATGCAATTTGAAAAAGATATGTTTTCAATGAAGACTTAAAGCTATTAAAATTACTATCTCGTCTGATAAAATGCGGCAAGGCATTAAAAACTGTAGGAGCTGCAAAACTAAAAGCTCTATCACCTAAAGTCTTCTTCGTATTTCTGTTATTAGCTGGCTCTATCAATAGTTCCTTATTTCTGCGCAGCTGATAGCTACTTGGTCTCATAACTGTTACCATTTCACTAATGTATGATGGCGCTAATCCATGTATTGCTTTAAAAGTCAATACAGATATCTTAAAGATTATTCTCTCCTTGACAGGCAGCCAATGGAGCTCATATAAAACTGGAGTAATGTGATTGAAACGAGAAGCACGGGAAACCAGCCGGGCTGCCGCATTCTGTATACGTTGTAACTTATTCACAGACTTCGCTGGAAGACCATAGAGAAGGCTGTTACAATAATCCACTCTTCCCATGATAAAGGCATGGACTAAGATTTTAGTTGCGTCAACGGAGAGATATTTTCTAATTCTGCGAATATTATGTAGGTGGAAAAATGCTTGTCTACATGTATTGTTGATATGGGGTACCAAACACAGATTGCTATCAAACACAATCCCCAAATTCCTAGCAGATGCTACCGGTGTAATGTTGACATCGCCTACAGGAAGCGAGACAATGTTCACTTTTTTTAATTGTTGCCTTGTACCGATAATCAAAAACTCAGTCTTACTATCATTCAGTTTCAATTTGTCCTTAGTCATCCACGTACGTACTGCCTTAATGCATGTCTCCATCGCTGCGATACTCTCTTCCTCACTCGCACCGTTCCCTGGTTTAAACGACAAATAAAGCTGCGTGTCATCAGCATATGCATGCGCAGTTGGTAAATGTTCTTTAATAACATCAAATAGTTTATTTGCATACATGGTAAAAAGCAGCGGTCCCAAACATGAGCCCTGAGGTACGCCACACGTTAATGGAAAAATGTCAGAGATTCCATCTTTAAATGCTATTCGCTGACATCGTCCAGATAGGTAGGATTCAAACCACTTTCGCACAGTTCCTGTAATCCCAAAAGATGTTTCCAATCGGTGCAATAAAATGCTGTGATCGACAGTATCGAACGCTGCACTAAGGTCGCATCATCATCCCTGCCCAGCCAAGATTCCGTAATTGCAAGAATATCGGGCTTGCAATCATGCACGATGTAGTCAGCGATATCTCCGGTCTTATTCCTGACTGAGCGACTGTTGACTAGACAGAATTTAAGAGAGTTATTGTGACAGTTCGCAGATATTTGAGGCAAACAATCAATACTAATTAGATTTGTCTGCTGCGAGCGTCGAACAAGTCAGATACGGGAGGGCGTAATGCTGTTGAATTAATTAGCCCATAATCGGGACGACTCGAAACAATGGTGCCAATACGGCGTGAACTGTTCATATTGGCATTCGAAGATACCACATTCGTGGGCCCAGGGTTAAGCTTAAAAACAAGGTCTCCCTCCAATATACAATGAAAAGAGGCAGATGTATTAGCATAATATCTACACGGACATCTGCAACGCTTGATCTTGCGTAGCGTCGAATAATATCTACACACATTACTGATAGAAAAACTCCACTCCCCACTGCCAAAAACCGCTCCCACTGCCAGAAAAATCTTATAAAATCTATCTTGGATACCATTGTATCTTACAGCTAAGCCCGTGGTCACTCCGCAGTGCTTTAAATTGGTTAGCGACAACAAAATTAATTAAGAGAAGCAGGTTCTTGTGACAGCAATGAATGATCACATGAATATTTAATTTTGTTATTATAGTTATTATCAGTCAAGCACATCGAGCACAAGATGTCGTTTGCTTTGTCGCTTTTCATGTGCCTACACGATGAAGGTAAATCAAATCCAAGGTTAAATGAAATAGCCATGTACATTGTTACATCCATCACAGCGAACTTCGTAGGAAAAGGCAAGGAAACCACACTATGTTTCATAGGCTTCGGGATTAGCAGCGACGATTTACATTTCGATATTCGTTTAACTTGCCGATCACTCAGACAAATTTGCAAAATTGAATTATAACTGTCCAAACATTGCCCATCCTTTGCGAATCCATAAACATCTTCGATAATAAGAACTTCATAATTAATTAGATGACTCCTCTGAGCCAAAATAACTCCAAAAATAGAATAAAATATTAAAAAGCTTGAGAGCACAAAATAAAAGCCGGCAGCCATTTTGACTTCCCCCTTAAACGCGAGTCTGTTAGTGAGAGTTGTATGGACTATTATTCCTGGTACAAACATGCGCCCAATCTAATAACCCAAAGCTAAAGAGAGCTAACTTTCCTTTCTGTAAATATAATTGCATTGTGATACGATACTTCAAGTTGCTCAGGCTTACCTAATTATACTGTTGTGTCATTTCTTGACGATTAGAATATATCAGTTTACTCACTAGACGAAAATTCATAGTGTACTGTCTCGACCAACCAGCAAGCCTGGTTTTAAGAGTTTCGACGCATAAGTACGTTTGTTTTGGAACGTCATGTGATGATCGTATACGTTTGGCTGACGAAAATTTATAATTTTTCGTCTCGACCAATAAGCAAGCGAGTTTAAGCGCGTTTGTCGTTCAGTTAATGAGGCTATTCGTGCGCTTTCGTCGAGTTGTGCATGTCAACTAATAATGCTTCCAAGACAAGTAAGACGTATAGGCGAGGTGGAACGAGCCGTGATTCATGAGCGGTATATGGAGATCGGTCCGATCTGGGACATGATTGTGAACGATATCGTGAGGCATGAGAGATTTCGCGAGATTCCTGCCAATGTGCAGGAGCTCTATGCTAATGTTGGAAATTGACGTGCAGCAAGAAGGAGACTTTGCGATTTTATTGCAAGAGAACAAAGAGAGTAAGTATAGGACCTGTACTATTTAGTTAATGTCCTTGGCTTGTGTTTTTATACTATAAAAACGATGTGTATGATGCAAATTTATCGTATTTCAACATTGTTTAGTGGTTTAGTGGAAAGGGTAAATGAGATGCGATACGCTAATCGGCAAAATGCCTTTGACAGAGAAGCAGCTCATGAGGCCATCCTAAACAGAATCAATGCCAACCTACCAAACCCAACCCCCCAGAAAGAGATCTAGAAAATAACCGTGGAGAAAACGCAGATCCCCTAGATGGCATCAACGGCGAAGAACAAGACCCTGACCCCCTTCACCAAGCTGGTAACAACGAGGACATGCAGCTGGGCGGAGCAGGAGAAAACGAGGACATACTTCTGGGCGCAGCAGGAGAAAACGAGGACACGCTGCTGGGCGGAGCTAGAGAAAGACCCCAACAACGTGCGCCCGCGTCAACGCAAATGCGGTTCGCGACAAAGTTCTCCAACAAGCACAAGCTCAGGCAATTCCTGTCCCTCCTGTAGCTCAAGGAAGGCGCCCTTATCACGCGTTAGCAAGGGAAAATGCAGAAGCATTGAATGTGCTGCTAACGAGAGATCTGCCTCTGTTAACCCAACAATTGCAGCAGACAATGGAGTTGACAAATGAACTTATAAGGCGACGCGTAGAGTAACATTAATTAGTATATTAATTCGCGCTTGATTATTATGTTAAAATGTTGTGTCCATTACTTTATATACATGAAACAAAATTGTAGGCTATGAATGATCAGCCATTGATGCCAATTGCAATTTTTGCTACGATTTTATGTGAGAATTGATTAGGAATGCGTTTTTTATGTTTTGAAAACACTATATATTTTTACCCTTATCTAAATATTCATAACTCGGACAATCGTTCCTAAAATCGCAACAAAAATTGCAAATGTGCAGCATTAAAGATTACTAATAATATTTGTGAAATACAAAATTAGATAAAATATACTATATCGACCTTCAAAACAAACACAACAGTTTCATTTCATTATTCATCTAGTAGTGTTATATCACATAGCGCTTATAAACAAGTCAAATCACGCGTGAAATGTGGATGTGCCTTTGTGCTAAGAACGAGCAAAGTTCGGTTACAATTGGGAACATCCAACGTTCATGACGCCACAAGTGACTAACAGCGCCATACTCTTTCACCCGCGTCTGATACAATGTTCCACTCGGGTACGAACTCTCGCGTGTTCTCTGTTGAACAACCGCCTTGTAAGGTTCCCAACCGCATTTCTCCATGGTGTGACGAGGGGATAACGTCTGCTAAAATAAAGAGATCTTGTGGTAAGTGGAGTTCTTGTCCAGTTCCGATGACAGGCATCAGCTGAAATTGACCGCTGTCATTGTTATGCCCCAAGAACCCAGATTGAATGTATACAATATTGGAATTGTTATCCATGATTATTTGCGTGGAGAAATTGTGGTATCTGCAATAGCCGCGCTATAAAAATCTTGCTGACGTTCCGTTTGTGGTCGTTGAATTGCATGACGCGTTCCATCAATCACAGCCACTGCACCTGGAAACATCTCCCAATGATTAGCCATCTCTAACCATTGTTCATGTGACGGCCACCTTACAAACTGTTTAAAATAGTTCCATAGCAGGAAGCAAAAATCGAATTTCTCTTTTGACAGTTGTTGGACTGACCATAAACAAGCCACTCAACATTACCACTTCTGGATACATCCGCAGCCAAATCACAACCATCAAAATTCGATTTCTTACATCAAGCACAAAGGGGTTATCACGAACCCTCAACTGCCTGCCCCTGGTAAAAAGTGTGACATACGGCAGCATGTCGTGCACCAGTTGACGAAACGATTCCACGCTCTCGCCTATCATCGACCAAAACAAATGCTTACACCTTTCTAATTCGCTGCAGAAATCTCTTCCCGGGAAATGTGAACCAACGAAGTCAGGGTTTAGAATTTGTTCAGTCCGAGCTCTTGGTAAAATGGACTGAGCGCACGTTGCTATTAAACTGAGCAGCGCATAGAGCTGCCTGATACAGGCAAATAAAGCATTCAATTCATCTTCGTCAATTATTTCTCTCTGATCTGTTGCCTCTTCTATGGCCGCATGGATTACAGGTATATAAATTGAATATATTGCGTGAACAGCATTCTGAAGATTTACGAGTACTATATTTATGACCTCAACGTCGTCTGCCATATTTCGTTTTACCACCTCAACAAACAGAAGCTCAAATCACTTTAATTAATCACACATGCATGCGCATACGAAATTGCATTTAGTTTAAAGGTGATCTACAGTCCGATCTGCGCATGTGCACAAAGGAGCCCACTTTTTATGATACAAACAGTTTAACTATGTTTGGGTTCTTGAAAAGCCTGATTATTGTTTCTTGATCATTTATTATACTCTAGAAGCTTGAAAATATAAATAGTTGTCGAATAAAGCTCAATATTTTGGACACAAAAATGTAAACAAACGCTTTGTTTACATACGGACTGTAGAGCACCTTTAACAACAGTGCACCCTTTCAAAATTTGAATTTGAAAAGGTGGACTTTTTTCTATACAATCTCTACGTACTCATGCAGCAAATTGCTTCATACGAATGGAAATATTTACACAGCTAATCACAAAGAATTTTAACGCTAAGATAGCTCAACTAACGAAACGAATATGCTAATTAAATTTGTCTCAGCCAATAGAAACCGTTGAGTTGAACGAATGTGGACGGTACAATCGTTCAGTTAATGAGGCTATTCGTTCGTTCTCGTGCTTCGGTGGACGTTAACTATTACCATCATTAATTGCACTCCACAACAGATGTTTAGTATAGGTAATCACACGGGAAGGCGTGCAATTAATTATTAACATTACTAGTGGTATTTGAAAAATGTGCCAAATTGCACTCTCCCCGGCGGCTCATGCAATTTTGGCATACTTTTCAAATATTACTCGTAGTGTTAATTATTAATTGCACTCCTTCCCGTGTGATTACCTATACTAAACCTCTGTCGCGAAGGAGTGAACGCGGGTTGTTAGTAGTGATGATATTAGAAGTTTCAGGAGCGACGAACCATACAGGCCAAGTGACAAACCATACAGGCCAAGGAGTAAACTCACGACCATCGGTTTACTAGTCCGATGCTCTAACGACTGAGCCACAAGTCAAGTTGGGAGCAGGTCGTTGAGGAGTGGTATTGCAAGAGGATTTGATATTTCGAAACCGAATCTTGTTTCTTCATTATCGAGACATTTATTTTATAATCTTGAGCTAATAAAGTGTTTGAGAGAGCCAATTCGGGTTGTTAGAAATGATGATATTAGGAGCTACTCCGAGTGACGAACCATACAGGACAAGTACGTAGAGAAAACCCTACTTGGCCCGGCTGGGATTCGATCGCGAACCCGTTTCGTTCAATGACCTGCTGCCAATTTGACCTGTAGCTCAGTCGGTAGAGGATCGGACTGGTAAACCGAAGGTTTTTTCTCTGCTTCTCCGGTATGGTTCATCACTCGGGGTAGCTCCAAATATCATCATTTATAAACATGTTGAGCAAATTAAGTAAGACTCAAATCGCTTCCTGGTTTTACCCCAACATGGGACTAATGAAATGGTCGAGTACTTACTTTATCCAACTTTACCGAATAATTAACTGAAAAATATATACAGCCGTATTCGATAAGTTTGAAAAAAATGGCATCCAAGTATATACTATCAAAGGCTTTTCTAAAGTCAATAAAACAGATTTAATAATCCTTTCCCGTTGCAGGTGGAAAAATATAGCAAATTATTTTGGGGAATTGGGATTTGCATGGGTGAAATGAACCGAACATATACAGTACTGTTCAGAAATAACCTAACACTGCGTTCTCGTTCCGAACGCGTTCCAAACGCGTTCTGAACGCGGTCGGAACGCGGTTGGAACGCGTTCCAGAGGAAACTTGGAAACGCGTTCCCCACTTTGGCTAAACACTGCGTTCTCGCATCGAGAAATCCCGACAGCGAATGAAACATGAGCTACTGTAGGTTTTGACAGTTGACAACTATGAACAATTAATATCAAGCTTCATCCCCGGCTGAAATACCAGCCCGGTTTGACCCAGACTGAAACTCGACACAGTCCGGGCAGCATGTAATCACAAATAATTTTAAAAAATCGTCTTAATGGCTTTATTTAGCGTGTTTGTTTCAACTGTATATGTAACCATAAACACACAAATCAAATAGCCGAAAATGCTTCAAATCGCGATCGTGTCTTTCAACCCGAGCTAGAAAGATCTGTGTTGTGCACAGGCTACACTTCAGCAATTTAAAGCCCTGATTCCACGAGCGCTTTTTGTCAGCGAAATGCTAAATATTTCGCCTGTTTCTTTTGAATTGTGAGCAGTCAAGTAGAAATAATTTATTCGAGTGGTCGCAATTCAAAAGAAACAGGCGAAATATTTCGCATTTCGTCGACAAAAAGCGCTCGTGAAATCAGGCCTTAACAACAGGGGATGATCATGAAAATAGTTCCGATTAAAACTCAGCCGGCTCAAACTGCTCACGGGCAATCAAATAGATCGCTATCAAACGTGCTGAAGCAAGCGTATCATGTAGCATACTTGCTACAGTTTATTTCAAATTGTCGCTGCTTGTGTAATATATTTTATTTACGCATAACTAAGTCATTACACATGATTATAAAGTATAAACATTTACAATTAGTCAAAATACTAGCGACAGTGACATTTTTGACAGCCCAACATCTCGGGTCGATTCTAGAATAAGTGCATGCTTGTAATATACCTTTACTAACAATCGTACCAACTTATGATGTTTCCTTACTGTGGCACGCAAATACACACACATACAAACCCAGATGATTACATAACCTCTAATATAATATGTTACTGTGCCAAGAAAGATTCCAAGTTACTTCCACACGATATCAGGGAATTGAGTTCCTCCTTTTCACCTTTTGGTAATACATTTTGTCCCAAATATGAACCTTAATCCTGTAAGCTCTTTGCGTAGCGATAGGGTAGACTGATTTGTTAAAGCTTACGGGGGGTTTTACTTGAGTAGCGTGAGGGTTTCGAACTTCGTCTTTGACGCAGATAGAGTAGATTATTAGACGTATTACACGTATAGATTTCTTTAATTCGGTGTTCAAATATAGCAACAATCAATTCGAACTATAAGGAAAAATAGTGACTAAACTAAATACCATGCAATAGTTATACTAATATACTAAATCAACTTGAATATGCTAAATTACTGTCTAAATATAATATGCGCATGCTTTCTAAACTAAATTAAACAAACAAATAAATATATAAATCCTACTTTGGTGTCCTCTTGTTCCTCAAGTAGCGTCCAGTATCTTTTCTTCGGGAGTCGTTTTCTTAGTTAGCGTGAATAAATTGATCCTTACTGATCGGTCGACTGTTCAATTTGATCTATCACGCGAGCCCCCTATGCATGTGACGTAACAAATACATGCCCAGAGGCTTGAGTGACGTTTCAAACTAACATTCCGGCCCCTTAAAGGCGTACAGTATACTAGTGCCTTTATAAACTAATAACAAACTGTTCGAAACAAAACTCATGCATAATAATATAGCGTCATATTAATGTGTAAATGTTATCTTATACTCATCTTGTCTTCGTTGTTCACTGCGTTCCTTCCAACACGACGATCTTGCAGATTGGTCTTTCCAACACGGATGTAGAGGTCTTCAACTTCATACTTCGAACATGTCCGTCACTTCTGTTACGATGAACTTCGATCACACGAGCCAACGGCCACGAACTACGCGGTGTATTCTCTTGAAGTAGAAGCACGATGTCGCCGACTTCTACGTTCTTTCTCGGTTGATTCCACTTTTGTCGTTCTTGCAATATCGGAAGATACTCCTTCAGCCATCTCCGCCAGAACACGTCTGCCATATACTGTACTTGTCGCCATCTGCGCCGTGTGTACAAATCTTCCTTCACGAATTTGCCGGGTGGAAGTGGGGGACCTGCACGTAATAGCAGCAGGTGGTTCGGGGTTAGAGCTTCGCTGTCTCTCGGGTCATCAGAAACTTTCGTTAATGGTCGTCCATTTATGATAGCTTCAACTTCGCACATCAACGTATGAAGGCTTTCGTCGTTCAGAGTCTGTTCATGAAGCAGCGCTCTCATCACCTTCCTCACTGTACGGATGCATCGCTCCCAAACGCCGCCGTGATGGGATGCAGTCGGTGGGTTAAAAATCCACTTGATATTCTTCAGTAATAGAACTTGATGTATCTTATCTTGGTTCCATTCTTTAATGCAACTTCGCAATTCTTTCTCTCCGCTTACAAAATTTCCTCCATTATCTGATCTGATTTCTTCTGGATTTCCACGTCGGGCTACGAATCGTCTTAGAGCGTTCAAAAATGAATCAGTGTCAAGACTCGATGCTACTTCGATGTGAATTGCACGTGTCGTCAGGCAAGTAAATATCACACCGTATCTTTTAACTAAACTTCGCCCGCGTCGTACATTGAATGGTCCGAAACAGTCCACACCAGTGAAAGTAAATGGTGGTTTTGAGGGGGTTACTCGACTCTTCGGAAGATCAGCCATTTTCTGCTCTGCCACCGGTGATTGTCTGCGCCTGCAGTCGAAACAATCGTTGACCACCCTTCGAACTAGGAGTCGGCCTTTGACTATCCAAAACTTCTGGCGTGTTAAGGATAGAACATATTCTAGACCTGAGTGTCCAGATAATTGATGATAGTGACGAGCAATTAGAGTAGCCACATGGTGCTGCTTAGGTAGAATGACTTGGTGCTTGGCTGTATTCTCAAGTGGTGCATGACGTAATCTGCCTCCAACACACAAGAGACCATCGATGATTTCTGGACTTAGCTTGTTTATCGGACTAGATTTTTTCACGTTCCCATTCTTTTGTTTCAATGCGGTCTTTTCGTCTCGAAAACTGGTCATTTGCACGATGTTGAGGATGAACCTTTCAGCGTTCTCCATTTCGTCAAGCTTTAACAGTACCGGTTTTGCTTTCTTTTCTTTTGACATGTTGATTATTTCACCACTCTTTCGCTTTCGTACGGTTTCTCGAAGTTGTTTCACGTAGCGGATTGCCCATGCAATTGTTTTCCTGAGCTGTTTCCAGGAAGAAAATTTCTCGAATCGGGAACACATATCGTTGGCCGATTCATCATCATCAGATGAGACGCTGGTAGACGTCGTTAAGGTTGTTGTGGCGTTTCTTCTTACTTCTGGATCGCATTCAGGAATATCAGACTTCATTTCTTCTTGCTTTGGCCAGTGTTCGCGGGATTTCCAGAGGAAGTCCGGTCCTTTCAACCAACGTTCGTCCTCCAATAATTCCTTTGCTGTTAATCCTCGAGAAGCGTCATCTGCCGGATTTGAACTGGTATTTACGTATTTCCATTGAGACAATTCAGTCGCATCTTGAATCTTTGATACTCTATTGGCTACGAAGGTTTGGAATCTTGTGCTCTCGTTCCCAATGTATTTCAAAACGCAGGTGCTGTCCGTCCAGAATGCGGATTCATCAACTTTCGTGTCGAGCTCTCCTTTGATCATCTTATTGAGCCTTGTCGCAACTACGGCCGCAGACAGTTCCAATCTGGGGATCGTCATAGCTTTCAACGGTGCTAATCGAGACTTGCCAATCAAGAAACAACAATGGATGTCTCCTCGTTGGTTGAGTATTCGTAGATATGTGACAGCTCTATAGCCTTTCTGGGAAGCATCAGAGAATGTATGCAGCTCGCATGAAGTGATCTCACCGAAATCAGTAGGTTTGAAACAACGGTCGATAACGATTCTTTCGAGTTCGGGTAGCATGCTTAGCCAATTCTGCCATCGATGGAGTGCATCTTCAGAAATTTGCTCGGAGAGCTTGGAGATGAGATACCGCCAAAAAGATGAACTGTCATCTGGAATTCGTCTGGATTAATAGATGTGTCACCGTTCGGCCACCATAGGAAACGTAGCACATCGCAATCTTTGAGTGGAGTTCGCACTTGGTGGAACATGGCTTCAATATCGGCCTTAAAAGCCACAGGACTTTGTCGGAATCTGGTCAAAACACCCGTCAACGAGTTCGTCAAATCCGGCCCCTGTAAGAGCTCATCATTCAGAGAAGTACCTTCGAATTTCGCAGAACAATCAAACACGACTCTTGTTTTGCCTGGCTTCTGTGGGTGAAATACTGGGTGGTGAGGTAGATACCAAACGTTGTCATTTTTAGAAGTGAGTCGTTCTTCTGGTGTCTTTCTTGCGTAGCCTTTCTTCATGAGATCATCAATAAAATTGCTGTAATTCTTCAGTAGTTGAGAATCTTTGTCTAACCGTTTCTTTAGGAACTTCAGACGACGTTCTGTCATTGCTCGGTTATTTGGTAATTTGGGGGTGGTCTTCTTCCAAGGTAATGCGACTTCATAATGTCCATCTTTCAACGTAACGGATTCGTTCATTACGTGTAGTGCTCGTTGGTCCTCTCTCGATAGCGTAGTTTTGTCTGTATCTTGCGTTTCAGGGAATTCCATGTTGCAAAATTCTTTGAACTGGTTTTCCAGATTGGCATCGGTTGCTTGCAAGTAATTGGCGATGTGTTCTGTTGAAGCATTTCTTCCTAATGGACCGTTAACTACCCAACCAAAGATTGTTTTCGTTGCGTATGGACCACCGCCTTTACTCCTCCATATTTCAATTGGTTCTAGAACTTCGGGTACGTCGCATCCGATTAACAATCCAATTTCTTCGTCAATTCGATCAATTTTAATGTTAGCTAGATGTGTCCATCTGTCGATATCTTCTCGTGTAGCTAGGTTTCTGGTGGACACTGGTAAATTTGGTGTAGAAAACACAGTTTCTATAGCAACAGGATTTTCTCCGTTCAAGTCTGAGAGTTCTAGACTTACGATTGAACTTTCTGTTTTGCTGTTTGCCTTTTCCATTGTTGTTAGCGAGAGTGTTGTTCTTTTGCCCTTGATATTGAGCCTTTTCATCAGGTCTTGTGAGCAGAATGAAGTGTTTGATCCACCGTCGAGAAAGGCGTACGTTTCAACAGTTCTATCACTTCCCATAGCCTTGACCTTGACTGGAACGATAGCTAAACCAACAGCTGTGCCATCAGATGCCGATTTACTCCTCGAGCCATTTGTTAACTTAACGTAACCAGTTTGTGCCTTGTTTTCGATTTCTTTGCTTTCCGTATTTTCTCGCTTCGAATGTTGTCCTTCTTTGACATTGTTTGGTTTGACACTTTCATGGAGAAATGTCGAGTGCTTTTCTTTACAATCTTGGACTTTGCAAAAGCTGTCCTTTGGACAATTACTTGCCAGATGACCTCTCGTGAGACAATTATCACACAGTCCTTTTCTTCGCACAAGCTTGAACCTTTCAATCAACGACATTTTCCTAAATTGCTGGCATTGCGATAACCAATGATTGTTGTCACATTCTGGACATTTGGGTGACGATATCTTCGGGACACGAAAAGAGGATTCATCTTGGTTATCAATAGCAAAATTACTCCTAGAGTTCCCATCACTTCTTCGATAACGGTTCGGTTCCTTTTGATTATCCTTCGTTTCGTTTTATAGATTTCCAAATATAGGATGAGATGACGCCCGAGCCTTCGCTTCCACGAACGCAGCTATGTCGTCGATAGTTATTTCTCGTGACTCCTTCTCAGTAATCTTGTCGACCACGTCTCTCCAATTCTTTCGCATACCATAAGGCAAACGTTCAATTATCTTTCTAAAGCTGTCTGGATTATCTTGCTTGCTTGAATACCCAATGGTTCTGAGCATGTTCTTGCAGCTTGTCAAAAGGATGGAAAAGCGTTGAAGAGCTGCAGCATTTTCGGACTTTATCATTGGGCCGGTGGTCACGCGATCAACGTACGATGCAGCGATTTTGTAATCCTGGTCATATCTTCGCTTCAACAGCCGCCGTGCTTCTGCATAACCTTCTTCACTTTTCATAGATAAGCAACTTTTCATCAACTCTTTCACGTCGCCCTGAGTGTACTGAATAAGATAATAGAGTCTAGCGCTATTACTATCTGTATTCGTTTCGATGAGATTCTCAAACGCTCGTATAAATGTTTGGTAGTCGATTGGATCACCACTGAAGACGGGAACTTCGGGTTTCGGTAGCATCAAAGCATTAGCGCTTTGTTCTTGGGTTTGTAGAAAACGTTCAAATTGAGCGTTGTCGTCATCTCTTTGCTTTCGCGTGGCTTCGAGGTTTTTATCAGGAACAACGTCCGCGTTTCTCTTTCTGACTTCGTTAGAACTGGTTTGATCTGGTGATGTATCCACTCTTTCACATTCATTCACGTTCGGAGATTCAACAACATTTCGGGCATCGCTTTGTATGCGAACATCGTATTCTCTTTGTGACGAACCCATTCGCGTAGGTTTATCACTCATTTGTTGAAGAATCGTCGTTTCCATTTTCTCTGCCTCAACATAGGCATTTTCTTCTGCAGTCGCCATTGCCAACTGGGTTTCCAACTCAAGTTCTTCGGCCAATCTTTGTAAATGAAATTGTTCCTCTTGCAAAGATCGCTTTTTACGAAAAGAAGCGGCTTGTGCTTGGAGTCTCGCTTTCTTGGCTGCTGCTTTCGCCTTAGAAAGAGATATGGAACTTGAGGTTGACGCACCTGAGATGTTGGAACCAGCCATTGAACGCTGCGAAATATTTCTAGCGTGAGACTTTTGCCGTAGTCCAACGCTGCTCACGGAATCTTCCGGTCGTACATCATGTATATCTGATACAAGGATAAGTCGTTCGTTGCATTCGTTTACATTTTGCTTTAGATCCGTAATACGATCCATTTCAGTATTAAAATAGTCGTTTGATTCCTGTATATCATCCTCGTCGTGTAGGTTTTGACGCAGTAACTTATGAGCATTACTAAATTTTGCAATTGCTGTTTCGAGGTGTAACATTTTTTTACTAATCTCGGACGCATTGCTTGGATCTAGAATTAATTGTTTTATTTCATTATGTTTCTTTGTTAGCGCCCGTTTTGCGCTAGTTCTATCTTGTTTCATTTGAAGAATATCAACAGGCGCATTTTATCGCTTTCTTTTCCGTCCAAAACGTCACCGCCAATAGACGTAGTCTCTTCTTGATCGCTCATAGTTTAATAATTTCCTGCGCAAATTAAACTGAAGGGTTTTAATTTCCTTCGTGGGTTTAATCAATTGCGAATGTCAGTGGTAAAGTCAATTTCGAGATAAGCGCATTCTTGAAATTCTTCAAATTCTTTCTTTGGCCCGCGACAGTCACGCAATGTTAGACAAATTGTACAATACAATACAAGACTGTTCGGTAATCGGTGTTATAAATGGAACAAATTCGAACTAATGTAAGCTCTTTGCGTAGCGATAGGATAGACTGATTTCTGAAAGCTTACGGGGGGTTTTACTTGAGTAGCGTGAGGGTTTCGAACTTCGTCTTTGACGCAGATAGAGTAGATGATTAGACGTATTACACGTATAGATTTCTTTAATTCGGTGTTCAAATATAGCAACAATCAATAGACAATCAAACGAGTTCGAACTATAAGGAAAAATAGTGACTAAACTAAATACCATGCAATAGTTATACTAATATACTAAATCAACTTGAATATGCTAAATTACTGTCTAAATATAATATGCGCATGCTTTCTAAACTAAATTAAACAAACAAATAAATATATAAATCCTACTTTGGTGTCCTCTTGTTCCTCAAGTAGCGTCCAGTATCTTTTCTTCGGGAATCGTATTCTTAGTTTTAGCGTGAATAAATTGATCCTTACTGATCGGTCGACTGTTCAATTTGATCTATCACGCGAGCGCCCTATGCATGTGACGTAACAAATACATGCCCAGAGGCTTGAATGACGTTTCAAACTAACAAATCATTCAATGCTATTTAATAGGAATAGGATGTAGACTCGAAAGAAGCAAGCGATGTGTGACTTTAAGTTTAATTTATGTAGATCCATAATACCAAGATATTTTTACTGACTGTAAAGTTTGGAAATTGCGCGCCGGAGATTTCGAAAATTCAATAGTAAATATATAGAAAGCATCAAAATTTGCGCGCCCGATATCTCCGCCGCGCGATACAAACTATATACAAATAAAATTATAAAATTATAATAAAATTATATACAAATTATCCACTTCCCTCCTCGATAACATAACAGTGAAACTTTCGTGATAACTTTTAGCGAATTCTTAATATATTTCTTTCAAAAACCCCAAATGAAAAGACACGACTGAACCAAATAGTCAATAGCGAACTTTTGCACGCTATTCCATGGTCGCCATTTTGATTTTTATTTCGTAAGAATTGGTAATTAAAATGACGTAATTTGTCATTTTGTGGCGTACCAAAGGGCAAACCTAGAGTCAGTGGGCATTTGGATTTTCATTTCGCATATTTAATTTTATCGTTAATTTATTTAAAACCACAATTTTGAAAGCTAGTTCCGGTCTTAAGCCTGCCGCACACGAGGGGACCGGCTAAACGGAGAGTTATGAAGTGGAAAGTTATCTCGAAGAGTTATGATTTCGGAGAGTTATGTTCAAACCACGCCCACTTTTCCCAACGACCACATCCAATTTCTTAACTCTCCCGACGTTTCCTTGAACTAACATGAGAGAGTTATGTTTGACGTAACTCTCTCTCGTTAACATTATGAATATGTTAGAGAGTTTATAACTCTCCGCGTTCATGGTTGTGGCAATGAAGAGAGTTAAGTCAGTTTTTTTAAAAAACTTCCACATATTAGTAAATTTTTGTAAATTTATTTTTTTTCTCAAGTGTCAGCTTTAACATCTCACGCTAGTAGAAACTAATAGTACTTCAGTACTTACAAAGTTAATCTATATGTAAATGTTTATATAAATATACATGCTCACTTAGATTATCTAGCAAGACCAGCATTCAGATACATATTAGATAGAACCAGAAAATCTTTCCAATGTAATGCCCTATTGGCTGATTTGGGAAAGTATTTCCAAAACCTGAATTGCTGAAAGATTCAATTTTCTTAATTTTCTCTGATCTCATTGTTTTGACCGAGTCAAGTTGTATTTTCCTGTTTGGACGCACGCTATTGACACGCTACAAACTGAAATACCAAAATATAAGATGAAAATCTGAAGAAACAAACTTTACTAAGGTTTTCTCAAAAAACTCTATTCATTGCCATAATCGTGAACGCGGAGAGTTATAAAATATGATAACTCTTTAACATCTTCATAATGTTAACGAGAGAGAGTTACGTCAAACATAACTCTCTCATGTTAGTTCAATCACGGGTTCAAGGAACGTCGGGAGAGTTAAGAAATTGGGTGTGGTCGTTGGGAAAAGTGGGCGTGGTTTGAACATAACTCTCCGAAATCATAACTCTCCGGTTGGTAACTCTCCATTTAGTCATACCCGCACACGAGAGCAACTTGCTGAGCTAACTGCCTCGAGTGGCAGCTAGCTCAGCTATGTAATTTTACCGCACACGTTGGGAAAACTACTCAACAACATAATTAACAAAATTATTTGCATTTTCCTCCATTTTGTTCCATATTTCCATGTCACATGAAGAAACTATGGTTTGTCTTTGGCTATTTGACTCAAACACCTCAGCACTTAGCTAACAATAATATCCGCAGACGCTGAGATTTTTTCCTCACGAGGTGAAAAATATCAAACACGATAGATATTTTCCTCAAGGCTTCGAGAGGTCAAATCCTCACAAAAACTATCCGCACACGAGAGCTACTTGCTGAGCTAACCGCCTCGCGAGGTGGTTAGCTCAGCAAGTTACTCTCGTGTGCGGCGAGAATTTTGACGTCACTGTACGTACGTTAACCCTATATGATCTAACGCCGACCATAACGGAGCTATGCTTCAGTTTACTATTCAATAAACATAAACTTACCCAACTAATGACGTCACACGTTGTGCTGAATCAGCAATTTATATTTTGCACATTTGTGCGTATAACTTCGGAACTAAATGAAATAGAATAGAGCATTAAACGGCCAACCGGCTTATTTCTTCATGCTCTTTCAGATGAAGTAATAAAAATTTTGGTTGCCAATGTCCTTTAATAGTTTAAAGATTGTTCGTTCACTGCAACCAGGTATATCAATCATGTTCTCGCGCGCTACTTATGTATTATTATCATAATATTTTAACAGGCAGCCGTAACTTGCCAAACGATTTTCAGTAGGGCCCTGATAGAACTATTATAACACGAAATACATATAAAATCGAACAAGTAAATGCAGTGTCTTAAATGTTTAATTTCTCCCACAAATAAGCTTCTTTTCCTACTTTTTGCACCGCATACGATAGATACGTTGCATTGCTCATGTTACTGCTAATTTACAGTAAAAAAATACCTTAAAAGAAAAAAAGGGTTCAAATAATCTACTTTTGACTGATTGAATACAGTTGAATGTAGGGCCAGTCTGAGGCCCAATCCGCGGCTACCTTTACAGTCGTCGCTACTAAGTCGTCGCATGTTATTAAATTTTGGGAATTCGAATATTATATTGCTGTGTTTCTTTCATTAATTTCACAACACTATAGGTCGAAGTGACCTGTTTATATTTAGGAATTGAAGGTCGATCTTGTGGGCATTCGTTGAACATCATTTAAAATCGTATTGCGATTGGTAAGTGTATAATATAATTAGCTTTAATTCATAAAGCAAAACAGTAGCATTGCGGCCTACGTAACAAAATTTGCTTCCACAATAAGTCAATAATTCCTATACTACTACTGTAGCGGCAGTAGACTGTGGTTTAGTTGTACTAAAAGGATATGAATATTTATTTCTGGATTGTTTATCTCATTCATTTCTGGTTTCGTTGGCCTTGGCTTGATTGAACTGAATATTTTGATGAATGATGATTTAACAATTTTTAACTTGTGTGACGTGATCTTGTTGATATAGTACAATGCGGGGTAGAAACTTATTGAAACCGTCACACTTCCAACGTTTATCAAATGCTCTGTCCCTATTAACTTTAACGTGTAGTAGTAGCTGTTTGGATATTGCCATACTTAATATACTAAACATGGCCACATATTTCAACATATATGTATTAATTGTAATTTGATCACAGATGTTGTCGACATCAAAATGTCTAGCCTGCGTAGCAGTCGCTTTATTTTGTTGTAGGTTTTGAGGATTTTTGAATCACATTTATTCAAAAATCCTCAACACATTCAATAAGGTACTCGGTCATTATTTATGGCCCGGGGGGCCCTGAAGAGAAAATGGGTGGGTATAAACAACATGTTATGGGTGGGTTGAATAAAAAATCTCCAAGCCAAGGGGTGGGTAAAGTAAAAATCATTAAGTTGGAAAATACTAAAATATTTGTATTATTTGTTTTATTAAGATTGAATAAATATAATTTACTTTATATATCGATTTGCAAAGTATTCAATTTGAACCTGCCATAACAGTCATGATAAAGTGACAGAGTTGTCATACTTGTTGGCTTTTTTGTTCTTTCAAAAACTCAAATAAGTCAATTTAGCTTTTAAATAAATAAATGGACAAAATTCAGTTAGGGTCGGTCTAAGATTTTTGAATGAATGCTGGGGTTGGGTGGAGAAAATTTTTTTTTGAAGGTTGGGTCATTAAAAAATTTGGCCTAGAAAATGTTTCTCCTCAGTCCTCCCCCCCCCCTCCCCGGCCATAAATAATGACCGGTCCCTAAAATGAAGTGCCTGCTACGCTGGCTACAAAATGTCTGGCACAGACTGCCTGAATGTTTTTAATTATTCAATGACTTGACTGCTCATGATTAGTAAAGCATTGGTAAAATAGTAATATCCACTGATGTAGCTATACTGTATGTGAATTGGAAGATTCCATGCCATACTATAAAACTCATGTTTTCAAGATAATGTTGTCTAGGCTTTTAATAAAATTAGTCTATAGAAGGCTACAGTATTTAAATTAAATGCAGCAATGATCTGATTTCTTGAAACTGAAAGGTAGAAACAGCACTATTATAAATCTATATGCAATAATGTACTCACTACTATACAAGCCTCAAATGTTATTTGGAGGACGTTTAATTGGACCCTGGAATTTAGGTAGTAAAACCATGCATGAGAAACATTTGCGTTGAGACAACAAACATTCGCCTAAAATTCACTTCTCGAATCTCCTCAAGACTGAGTTGTTAAGATGAGCAAATGTGCAAATGAAATTGAATACAAGACTTATCTGTTAGGTGAAACTTGACCAATGGCAATGATTTGCAGAACCAAAATCAAACTTCACCTTACAGTGAAGTCTCTTTAAATTTTTCAATTCTGCTTCATCATTGGTCTGTTCGATATGAGGATTTGTTTCCTTCATATTGATTTATTCTCAGACTCAAAAGACTCACTTCATGCACTGGTTATAGTACAAATTTATTATATAAAACACAACATCAGGCGTGGAAAAAATCTTTTACTTTCTGGGACCACAAGAGAACATTGAACATTTTCTGCAAATAGTCAAGTAAATCAACACTCGGCCACAGTAACTGTGTGACACTAACGAGTTGTCAAACTGAATCTCATGCTATAAGTTAACAGAAAAAAATCATTACAATGCACTGAGAATCTTAATACCTCCACAAATAACATAACACTATCAGGGATCTGATCCTAAGGCGTAAAAAAAACCCTGTGGTTCCGGTTCCCGACCGACCCTATTTTTTTCTGCCGACTCTAATATTTTTTCAGCGTGATTGACCGTGCGACCTTATTTTCTCCAGGTTTTTGCGGGCTGCTCATACAGCGTGCCAAAATGGCGTTTGTTGTCACACTAATTATTGAACCAAATTGCCTAAATTCGTCCATAGGAAATTGTAATGTATTTCTCGCGTAGCCGAGTAAGGATTGAATGCCAAAGAGAACCTTTAATCCCAAAATAAGTGTAATAACGACTATTTCTAAAAAGAACCTTGCGCCCCCTTGAACTGCTCGCTCCAGTTCACTCCTGCGCATGCGTCTATATCCAGTACTTCATATAATCAATATATAACAACTGCCCCCTCTTTAAGTGTCCCTGCACTGTAAACGTTAAACCCGTAACATAACACAACAATCTACTGTACCTAAGTTCAAAATGTTTTTACTCTTCAGTAAACCTTTTGGGAGGTTTACGCTCACGTAAAGGATACCTTCTTGTGGACTCGCTTGGTGTAACGTTAATAAGTGTGTCCATTTTACTAGTAAGTTCTCCACAGTCCCGATCTTTACTTTTCGTGTTAACTGGGGGGAACGTGTCGAACTCGTTCGTAATCACACTTGGTACTGCAGGTATATGGTGGCCCATCGCTATCATGGATTTTTGCAGAAGTTCATATTATTTTGCATTGTAATTAGATTTCAGATATGAAATATATTTTTAAACCGTTTTTATTTTTAATTTAAAATGTAAATTTAATTGCATTTCATATAATATAATGCCTAATATTTTCAATCTGCAAATAAAATTTTAAAACGCATTTGTACACGTGGCCCAGCGCTATCACTATCATGTAAAATCACAAGAAATAGAAATTTAAATTGGAAAGAGGAAGCACCGTTCCGCACAGAACACAGAGCCACAGAGTAGATAAGACATACAGAGACGTAACTGACCGTTGTAAACACTGCGGAAGATTACGTTATCACAGAATAGATACAGGACCAGAAGTGTCACTCAAGCGATATTTTGTCCGAAATTTTACGAGTGCTGACGTGAAAATACGCCATCATATGACGCCATCCTGGAGTGCACACGGAAGTTTTTCATAGGAAAACATAGGTACAAAGTGCCGGGTGCACTCCAGGATGGCGTCATAGCACGCAAAAAAATTTCGGACATTTTCTTTCAGCCAAAACAAATAGGAGTGACACTTCTGGTCCTGTATCTATTCTGTGACGTTATCATGTACCCACTTTTTTTCTGGCGTCGGGTGAAAAATGATCAACTGCGCGTGCTCAGCAAGTTTAAAGTGAGTCGTCATCAGGTCGTCATCCAATCAGATGCATGCATCTACAGTAGTAACTTGCCGAGCATGCGCACAAAAAAGTGGGTACACTAGTTACGTCTCTGTATGTCTCTACTCTGTGACAGAGCCACGGACTGCTTGTACTAATGGCGAATGCCAACTGGAAAGATGACGAGAAGCTAAAGAAAGATCTTGATCAATATGTCAGGCAGAATTTAAAAAGATCAGAAATATTAGATTTCGTTAAACGAGATTTTTCAGAATACCCGTGGAGCATCGCTACACTTGATAGGAGACATTTTGAAATAAGGTACATTAATTATACTACACCAGTAGAGGCTGTTTTAGCCTGCGAACAGGCTCACTGGGAGAAAGGTGAGCCTGCACGGAACCATGCGTTTCATTCAATCATCCCCTTTTCGCATCTGCTAAACGCGAACCAATCAGCGTCGACTGCGATAAATAAACTGTCAACTGTCAAATTGACGCAAGGCGTGTACATTGTGCAACGAAGAAATACTGAATATTAAAATGTTACATAATGTATATATGAACAATGATATTATAATACAAAGCATTAGCGGGCCGCACAATATATTACTCGGAAAAATATAGAATTCTTCAAATATTAAATAGATATCAATACACATACAAATATAAAGCCGAATAAAATACTACCATTGGCATTGGATGTACAGTAATACTTGTACTATGGTGCGACTGAAAGAACAATGTTCTAGTGAATAGTTGAAGCTATTACTAAAATACGGTCAGGTAGATTGGGATTTGGAATACCGAATACGTCTAAAATTTTACTAACTGTGGTCTAAATAGATGATAAATGAGCATGTATTTATTAATTTCTTCGAAATCACGAGTGTGCCAATAGTGGAAGCCGTATCGACGATGAAATTGTCAGCAGTTTATACAGTAAATAGTACAACGTTTAATGTACGATATATATTTATCTAAATGACATGCCAGCGAGGATCAACAGTATAATTATTCGTACATATTTGGGTATCTTTTGTATGCCTTCGCTTGCTGACTTGCTCACTAATCAGTGAGAATAATCTGTGAAGCCACGACGACCTCAAAATGAACTATACTATAGTCTGATGTCAATCCGAAGACGAAGTTCAGAATACTGTTATAGTTTCGTGTATTGGATTTAAGCGATAGATTCAAGTCATTTATGATAGACTTTTTTGCTGTGATGCTTTGCTATCGCTTTTGGTTTCCATTTCTAGTTTTATTTGTTCGATAGTCTTATAATATATAATATTAAAATGAATAAATCGAAATAAAGTTCAAATTCTTCAAAATGCTGCTGTTGACATTTGCTATTTTTAGTAATTTTGTCAACGAGTGTAAGCCAATCAGAAGCCTGCGTTTCTATACGAACGCCACTACCAAGAAAACCTATAGTTCCGTGCAGGCCCTCTATTCTTCGCGCCGCCCGTAACCCAGGGCCTGTTCGCAGGCTAAGGCTGTTTCTGAAGCTGTTTCCCAGGAACTTAATGGCCCAGGGAAACTTCTGGGTTACAGAGCATTAAACCGAAAGCTTAAAACCGTGCATAATGTTAAAGTTCCCAGGCATTTGGTCCACAATGTTCTTGCCGAGTTAGATCCTGACGGTCTGGAAGCGAGAAGTTTACGAAAGAAAGCAAAAAAAACGAAAGTGGCATTTACTTCGAATGGTCCTTTATGGGTTGTATCGCTTGACGGACACGATAAACTCTGCGGATATCAAAATTCGACGTTCCCCATATGTATTTACGGTTGTTTGGATACATTTTCAAGGAAAATCCTGTTTCTTTTTGTTTGTTATTCAAACTCTGACCCACGCATAGTTGGGAAAAAGTATCTAGAGTACTTGTATCAAGAACAAATTATGCCATCGTATCTTAGAATTGACAAGGGAACGGAAACCGGAAAATGGCGACTGTACACGTCTACCTTGTAAACAAGTATGAAGTTATGGAAGATGCAGTTCAAGCTATTATACATGGTCCTTCAACGAGCAACAAAATTGAAAGATGGTGGCGTGATTTGCACGAGAGATTGGAGAAATATTTTAAAATACAGTTAACACAGCTGCTACGAGATAGGCAGTACGATCCGCACGACATGTTGAATAGACAGCAATTAGCATATGTTTATATTCCTATTATTCAACGTGAATGTGATATTTTTGTGAGCAACTGGAATTCCCACAGAATCCGTCATCATGACGATCTGTCGCTTCCTACAGGAATTCCAAATCACATATTTTCCTTCCCCGAGAAATACGGAGGAAATCATTGTGGTATTCCTGTCACACAAGATGCGTTAGAAGAAGTGGCAGAAGTTTCGGGCTTACTTGAGGACAACCCAGAAATTTACATCCATGACGAAAGAATTAAACATGCGTGTGAACAGTGTTTACCTGAACCATCGAAAGTTGATTCAGTCAGTGCAAAAGACGCTTACCTGTTTCTTAAACAAAATATGTCTAATGACATTAATTCTACTAACAGTAACTTTAATTCGCGTTAACTTTGATATCAAAAACATGTGTCATGTTTTACTGCACTATCTTCATAGTCAAAGACAAAATCATCCAGCTAGTGTGATTCTAGTTAATACAGAATATCAAAATGAGTCATTTAAACGATCTTATTACAAGATTTAACAAAAGTTCCAAAGTTTGTTCGGTTATATATATTAAAACAAGAACTAACAAGCTACAAGTCCGCTTGCGTGGCCGATTATAAAGTAATAGAATGTTATTAATAGATTTGAAAATAAAATCCGATTACACTAATGCAACTGTAAAGTAGCCAATCAGATGCTTTATTTACAAATTATTGTAAAATGTAATTTGTATATTTCATATTATTGTTGACATCCATAAATACATATATGGCATGCAATTTTCGCACTTTAAACAAGTTTGAGTCTGAGTGAAATTTGCTGTAAACAAACTTTTCAACCACTATAATTTGCAGTCAAAATAACTTGCAGCTTAGGCATTGCCCTTACCCTATAGCGTAAACACCGGACTTGGCTATTTTTAACATGCATCATGATGAAACTCAACTACTATGTATTAAACGCGTAGAAAAAATCAATGAAAAATTGTGCAATATCAGTCTTACAATGTCAGCTCCGTTTCAGAAGCAAGATTCAACATGGCACAAAAATGATTGCATTTATGCTACCTATTGAATTTACTAATACTTAAACATGACAAGTTGCCAGCACAAAAATAGAATTCTCCCGAGTCGTCCAATTCATCATTCAACTCTGCGGTAGCAATTTCAGGATCGTAAAGATTAAACATTGAACCTTGTATATCTAAGAGCATCATTTTCTTATTTGAATAGTTGTAACTGAAATGCACCAGACATTCTGCTTTCCCGAATGCGACATCGTATTCTTCACTAGGGGCTTCCAAGCATTGGCCGTCATTATTTACGTATTTAACGAAATCTCCTGGCACGTATTCTTCAACAGTTACTGGCCGACCGTCTAGCGAAGAATAAAAAACTTTGCCATATGCAAAAGTATCCTTAAATTGTGGAGGGGCTTTAGAGACAAACTGCTGGGTGATATTTCTTGCAACTGCGTGCATCTGAACTTGCTTTCTCGTGTGTCCCTCAACAGACATTCCCAATGTGTTTTCGATCGTGTTTATCGAAGTATCCTGGTACCGTTTCAATACCCATTCACCACGCAGATCTGGCGGATCAAGACATTTCGCTTTGTAAGCGCGTCTCGGAAAGCGCCACTTGCGAACTTTTCATCTTCAACCTGAAGTTTTATGGTGGAAGCTAGGGTTAACCCAAATGCATTTGTGAACATCGAAATACTCTAAGTTAAATGTATATGCTTTTGGTGGCTTTATCAACTTCCCAGCTTTAAGCAAATCGCCAATTGATACAGACTTTGGGAAGACTGTAGCAGGAGCACGTGGCCGTGGGCTACAAAGCGAATGACTTGAAGTGGACTTTACTGGGGACGACTTCGTACCAGCCTTTGCTTGTTTTGTCATATTATCGTTCTTTGACATATCATCGTTGCGTTGGCTCTCATTTTCTGGTTGTGTAAAGCGTATGAAGAAAACCTTTTTCCCCTTTAGTTGTTCAAACCTGGTACACGACGGGCCTCGGTCAGACGCTAGGATATCACAAGTGTTTTGTGGAGCGTTGTAGAAGCGTTCGCAAGCGTCTTTTATATTGTCAATGCTTAGTTCGTCGTAATCTTCGAAAGGCACAAAATCTCTTGTGTCCAATGGTTCATATTTCTTTAACCGACCTGAAGCTACTGACGAAATTCGTTGAACTAATATATCGCTCGGAACTTTTACACCACGAGACTTTTTCTCCCGACCTTCGGTTCTTTTAAGGCCCACTCGTTTCTCAAATTCAGCCCATTCTTCTTTCTTTTTACAATATTCGTTTTTGCGTTTCATACCGCTTGTTCGATCTGCTAATCACCGAGCTATACTGTATCGTATCGCGTATTACTTGTAAATACCGTATTTTAAGTTTCGTTTGTTGGGACGGGCTTCTCGCCAAATATGATGACGTGTGGGGTTATGGGAATGTTCACTATGTCCTGATAGTGATAGCGCTGGGCCACGTGTATGAATGCGTTTTAAAATTTTATTTGCAGATTGAAAATATGACTGATAACTCTGTCCCGGACATCGAAAATAAAAAAAATATGAAAACGCTTTACCTCATTTAAATAGAATAAAAAAATACTATCAATATTTATGCATTATATTATATGAAATACAATTAAATTTACATTTTAAATTTAAAAATAAAAACGGTTTAAAAATATATTTCATATCTGAAATCTAATTACAATGCAAAATAATATGAACTTCTGCAAAAATCCATGATAGCGATGGGCCACCATACAGGTACAGTACCCTATCCTCCGTGTGTGCAGGAATTGTTTCTCTTTTGTTTGTTTCTGTCTTCGTTTCTGGGAACAAATTTTGTTCCATCTCGGACTTCGCTTGTTCCGCGTTTTCAAAACTAGGTATGTGTCGTGAACGCAATTGCTCTTCATGTCGTTTCCACATAACATCCCCCACTTTCACGTCATAATTTCTAGGACTAATTATCTTTACTATAACCCCTGGGAGCCATTGTGCTCCTTTGCCAAAATTTCGAGCGAATACTGCTTGATTCTGGCTGTACTTTGGTTGATTATCTAGATTATCTTGAAATATTTTGACCTCATTTTTCGATTGCTTCGCCCTAAGCGCACTCAATCGGATCCGTGGTTGCCTGTTCATTAGCAACTCTGATGTGACTTTCCTAACCCTGTACGGGTAGCTCTGTACGTCGTCAGCAAAAAAGGTCTAGTTTTGTCTGCAATGGCTCTCCTGAGTCCCCCATTTTCTTTAGTTTATCTTTAAAATTACCCACATACCTTTCTGCCAATCCATTCGTTGCAGGATGTCCTGGAGCGGTTGTAGTATGTTGAATATTGTTATCGTTCAGAAATTTCTGAAACTCCTCACTGGTAAATTGGCTACCATTATCTGAAACAATGTGTTCAGGTAGTCCAAAATTGCTGAAAATATGTCGTAAAGCTGTTATGGTGGTAGTTGAAGTAGCATTAGACATTGGGACAATCTCAAGATACTTGGAATAGGCGTCGACCACGACTAAGAACATTTTCCCTAGATATGGACCTGCGTAATCTATATGAATACGCTTCCAAGGGCCTCCAGGCCAAGACCATGATGCTTGTTGAGATGCCTTTGGTGATTTGGCTTCTTCCTGACATGCCGTACAAGACTTAACTGTTTCTTCGATTTCTTCGTCGAGCTTAGGCCACCATAGGTATTTACGCTACAACTGTTTCATCTTCACTATTCCGAAATGTTCGGCCTGTAAATCCTTCAGTAGAATATCGCGCAATGATTCTGGAATCACAACTCGAGTGTCCCATAACAAAATTCCATCTTCATGTGATAATTCTAATCGCCTAGTATGATAACCCAGGTTGACAATCTTGCCAAGATCCCAGCAGGATCTTGACAAGATCTTACCCAAGATCTTACCAAGATCATGCCAAGATCTTACATAAATCCTGCAAGATCATGGAAAGATCTTGCATGATCTTGCAAGATCTTTCCAAGTTCTTGCAGGATCTTACCTAAGATCTTGCAGGATCTTGCAAGATCTTGCCAAACATCTTGCAAGATCTTGCCATGATCATGACAAGATCTTGCCATGATAATGCAGGATTTATGTAAGATCTTGGCATGATCTTGGTACAAATCCTGCAAGATCTTGCCATGATAATGGCAAGATCTTGCAAGATCTTGCCATGATAATGGCAAGATCTTGCAAGATCTTAGGTAAGATCTTGCAAGATCATGCAAGATCTTTCCATGATCTTGCAGGATTTATGTACATCTTGGCATGATCTTGGTACAAATCCTGCAAGATCTTGCCATGATTCTCCAAGATCTTACCACAAATCCTGCAAGATCTTGCCATGATCCTCCAAGATCTTACCAAAATCCAGCAAGATCTTGCCATGATCTTGCCAAAAATCCTGCGAGATCTTGCCATGATCCTCCAAGATCTTACTGAAATCCAGCAAGATCTTGCCATGATCCTCCAAGATCTTACCAAAAATCCTGCGAGATCTTGCCATGATCCTTCAATATCTTACCAAAATCCAGCCAGATCTTGCCATGACCCTACAAGATTTTACCAAGTTCGTGGCAAGATTTCCGCAAGAATACATGGCAAATACAGAATGAAGAGGCTCTACATGAAATATACTATACTCTGGATATAACTTTGATTGAATTTATCAAACTAACGTAAAAGTGTACAATATTGCCATAAATTCAGTGTCGGTCTTTATTAAATTGTAATAAATTAGTTCATCCAAATTATAATACTCAAGCTTTTACCCGGTTTAGTTTGCATAGTAAATGTAGTAAATTAGACCAATAATGTTGGTAAAATATTATCAATATCTATGGCGATTGAAATAAAGTCTGAATGAAAGTTCCACCTTGCTCAATATTTGAGAGAAAACAAAGGGAATCTTGTCTGTTCTTAATAATGTTGTTCTAAAGAATTGAGTTTCAAGATGGAACTTTTATTCGGAGGTTGTTTCATACTTTACTTCATGAATTATATTAGCATTGACACCATTGTTATTGCGGCAAGTTCTTCGATTTTGTTTTTCTTCGCATATCGCGGCACTTTTGAATTTTGATTGCACGCATCCACGATAATTTGGCGTGTTTACTGTTCTCTGTACTTTTTCTTCGCCATACTTGGCATTGAGGACAGCTATATCGTAAAAAAAGACTGTGTTAAAGTAAGTCTATTTTTTGTATTTAAGTTCATTTCAATGTTTACCCAAAACACATTGCCATTGGCAAAGAAAACTATAGTACTTTTAATTAACACATACTGTGGCAACTTAGTCTTAAGTTTGTATATATCTGTTCACAGCTGGCCAGTTAATTTTTCTTGAAGTCAAATCACATATATTATTCTTACCAAACAATTTAGTGACCCTGTTGGGATCTAGTGCTGGTTTTGGAGATCTTTTCGACTGGAATAGTATTCCATCCTGGAGCTCTTCCGATGAAAATAGGAAGTCCAATAATTTGATTGCACATTTTGATGGCTCTTTTGGTGGTGCATTTACGGTCATCAAATTAATGTCATTGTGCCACTAAAATGAATTAACAATACTTGATATTAAATCACT